TGACCAGATAGTCAAATTTTCCACTAGGTTCCCCTAGAGTGTCCCATATTTCCTTCTGAGGGGGAATTGGCTGCGTAATTTGGACTTTCTCCAATTCCAGCCTCAAGCCCTCAGTGACCTGTGTTAATCCTTCGTTTTGATTCCCTTGGCCTTCAGTAGCCTGGGTTTCTCCTGCAACAGCCACAGGTGCAGCAATCGAAGTGTCTGGCGTATTCTGGATGTCTTCAGTGACTTCCTCGCTGACTTCGACCATCACCCAGTTTTCGACTCCAGTGTCCTTTTCTTCTGTTAGGGCGTCGCTTCGATCAGTTTCCACCATGTTGATCTCTCCAATGCATGCAGGCTCGGAGTAGTTGGTGTCTGCGACGTCCAAAGGATCTTCGTCCACTTTCATCTTCACCTTATCAGCAAACTTTAGTCTGCCATCTTTGATCGCGTTTTGAATCAAGTCCCTGAAAAGAAAACATTGTGAGGTCTTGTGGCCTAGGAAACTATGATATTTGCAAAATCCCCTCTTCTTCCTCTGATCCAAAGGAGGTATTTTGACATTTGATGGCACAATTAGTTGGCCATCCTTGACAAGCAAGTCAAAAATTTTGTCACACTTAGTGACGTCGAAGGTATAAACCTTCTTTGGAAACTTGTCACTTTTCTCATTTTCAACAATATCTTTCCCTTTTGTGGGAACTAACATTTTGCAGGAGTAAGGCGGGGCCTGTTTTAATTCAGTGAGGTCGATTTCGACCTCTTCGAATTCGAATTCAGGATATTCTTCTACTTCCTCAGTCCCAACATAGGAAATCCTTTCTTTCTTACTATTCTTAAAGACTCTGGCTTTTTTGGCCTTTAGTCTTTCGACCTGTCGAACCCTATCGGCTAACTGAGCCATATCCCTCAAATACTGAGTGTCTAGTTTCTTTCGAATAGAATAATCCAAGTCCCCAGCAGCCATTTCGACTAACTCATGTTCAGGCACTACTGTGTAACATCTGGATTTCAACAGCCTAAATCTATTCAAATAATCATCTATGGGTTCGGTGAACTTTCTCTTAACACTGGCCAATTCCTTCAAACTTATTTTCGATTGTCCCATGTAAAATTGTTCATGGAATAATCTCTCTAAAAGAGTCCAAGTGTCAATAGACCCAGGAGGCAACGTGGTAAACCAAGTGAAGGCGTTTTTTGTCAAGGAACTTGGGAAGTATTTGATCCTGAGATCTTCATTATTGGCTATATCTCCCGCTTCGGTTAGATATCTCGCTATGTGTTCGACTGTTGACTCATTGGTATCCCCAGCTAACTTTGTAAATTTAGGGACTTTATATCCCCTTGGTAAATCAGTATGCATTATACAATCCAGTATAGGAGAAGCATAATTTGGCCTCCTCATTCCTGTGTTGAGGCCATTCTGAGCCATGATCCTCTCTATCATGGTGGTTAGGTTATTTTCTGCCAAGATGTTATCGTTTCGAATCCTATGAACGACGGCATCGGCATCTTGATTTCGACCAACCAAAACAACTCCCCTAGGTTGTTCTTCTCGGAATTCTGGGGCTTCTGGCCTTTCGATCCTTGCCCCTGGTTCCATAACTTCCCTTTGTGGACCCGGGATTATTGGGGCTTCTAACCTTGGTGCTCTGGCCCCCAAGTCAACTTCTTCTCTGGGTGGTCTATGAATTGGGTCATTAGCAATTTGTTCTACAACAGGCATGTTTGTTCGAAATCCCGCCTGGTTCTGCCTACGCCTTTCTGTGGGAGCAAAGAAATCTGCTATTCGACTCATATTGTCAGCGTTTTCCCTGTTCGTCACAGTCACATTCTGAACTATTGGGGCAAATATTTCCTGCATGGTTTGCGCTAACACCCCTATCATATTGTGGTTACTGTCATCCATCAATTGCCTAAAAGCCAACTGGTTATCTGTGGTTAGGATAGGCAACGTGCTATAACCCACTGACCCTTGGTTATTTGTCATAAACTGATTCGCCCCAGACCCAGATCCTAGTTGTGGAGATGAATTCGATGTGGAATTGTGTAAACCTGCCATAAAAGATGTTGGCATTCCGTAAGAAGAACTTCTAATTCTATTCCCATCGAAACCGGGTGGTCTAGTTAATGGTGTGGCGAAATGGGATTGTGTCCCTGATGGTGGAACGACTCCCCCAGGGTAGCCCATAGTTCCAGTATTTCCTAAGATCGAACTATTAGTTGATATGCCACTTACTCCATTGGTGGCTATGTTACTGGTTGAAGATGCAACAGACTGTGCATTCGAAGGGATTACATTAGATGTTCCGCTCGAAATGGACGCGTTAGTGCCTGTTGCATGTGGGCCACCTTGGTCTCCTTGTTGATTGTCTGAATTAGACATTTTGTCCAAACGTTTTCTTCTGGATAAAGGTTGGTTGCTGTTGGTTATCTTACCACTTCTCAGGTTCATAAAACAGCAAACTTCTTAGGTTCCTACGTTTTTGTAATGGCTACGTCTCGACAATCCTTAATTCTGATATCCAATTATTGGTCCCACCAGGTGTGCCAATTTGTTTCCAGTGATTTCTGGTAAACAACCGCTAGTCTTCCAAACTATCGAATAATCTTTCTTACTGTTATTCAATCTCTCTGGTAACTCACAGGATCGACTAGATTGATCCTAGGACTCCTTGGATATTAAGGTTACTCTCACAATCGAACAATTATTCATGGTTGATATTGTATAAGTGTTTGGCTTACTTCGATCTCTCTCTACGAGTCTAAAAATGTAGTCAAAATGTATATGAAAACTAAGTTATACGAATAAATGTTAATTGTAATGCTGATTGTAGAGACATATAAAACTGCATGAAAAATGAAGTAAATGGTTTCGACTTACAAGACATTTAACATAAAAAGTTTCTGGAATGTAGAAGTTTAAAATGTGAAGAAAGCGTTTAATGCAAGAAATCTGTAAATGATTTTAAGTAAAAGTATGCGCTTGAAGAACAATACTTGAAAGTAAAGGTATTGAAAATGTGACAGTTCTCTGAAATATAAAGTGCTCGAAATATAAAGAAAACAGTAAAACGTAAAACTTTGAGGAAAAGACTTCGAAATGAAAAGATTGTAAATAAGAAAACTTGCAAATGTTATTTGACAAAAAAGAAAAGAGGAAAGTACTGGAAATGGTAAAAGGCTTTCATTAAGTTAGAAATACATGGTGCTATCATACATACATTTCTCTTGCATTCGTTTCCCTTGCCATGTGGTAGTTTGAATGTTATTGAGTATTTTGTATAACAGATATGACACACCGAAATCCTAATACTAAGACTTCTATTTATACTAATTCGACCCTAACGGTCTCGCTACAGGATTATGCCACGTTTCGAACATGCAAGACAATGCTTCTTTCATCTTTCCACGTGTCCCCAAATGCTCCAACACATAACTTTCAAACTTTGAAAGTCCCGCTTCCATTTGAATTTTAAATGCTTTTGGTGTTTCTCTATTTCGAGCGTTCTTTCCAAACACAGCCTCGCTGTTGTTCCGAGACTCCTTTAACTACGTTCCCATAATTGCCGTTCGAAGCTTCACACTTTGACACCCTTATTCGAAACACTGCTTCTGTCACTTCGAAATATGGCGTTTAATTCCATTTCGATCAGAACGTTTATCTCTTTTGGCTTCTAAATAATATTATCGAAATCTTCAGCTAACACTACCCAGACTAATCTCTTCAAGAATAACTCCTGCCAAGAATCAGATTTTCCTTTTCGCTTATCAGCCCAACTTTGTTTCGAGACAGTTTGGCTTGTGCCAACTAATTCCTGAACCCTTATTTCAAACGGAAAGTGCCATCACCTCTGGGCGAACCTTCAAGGCACGAGAAGCCAAATTACAGCAGGAACAATACCAAGGCTTCGCCCAGTTTGAACTAATAACTTTCGAACCTACACACCTTACAGCAAAGGGGTTTCTGGAATGGTGGACAAAGTTCTATCAGACTTATATGTTCGATACTCTTACTATTCAGCAGAAACTAACTGATGCATTCGATGTGCAGGTACCATGCAAGAAAGGTATGTTCACTCATGCCAAAGAGATTAAAGCTTTTCAAAATTATTTCGAAACTACTTATGATCCCACACACTTGGAATCCACTGTGCATCAAGCGGCTGAGACCTTGAAGGAAAAATTCAAACAAAAAGTTTCTAAGTTAAAACTTCCTTCAGGGTTGTCACCTGAGGATAGGTATAGGTTGGCATTCGAAATGCATCCACCTAAATTTCCTAGATTACCTACCTCAGAACTGGCTCTGGCTTGGTTTCCTCCATACCCTTGGTGGTTCACTTGCAAAGAAATGTTCAAACATCTTCAAAAGAAACCAAAGCCATCTAAGACTGTGACATGGGCTCGACACTGGCTCCACGATTTCCCAGGACATCTTTGCTATGACCTTTCTGCCATGTCGATTAAATCTGACCAAGGCACAGGTGCGAATGCTTGGGAAAATCCCAAACGTTTTTCATTTTCCATATCTTTAACTTTTGCCTTAATTGTTTCGATTTTCATCCATCAGGATAAAGACTGCTGCTTCAAAGTCAAAAGAAGGGAGCGCCTCTCAAGCCTCTATCGAAACCATTGACAATGTGACTCCATCCGAAACAACCATTGCTGCAACAACAACAACAACAACAACAACACCAATAATTACCAGTGTTCCAACTCCACAGGTAATCATTTAGCCTTGATGTTTCGACTATACTAATGCTTCATGATTTGCACCTAACTCTTTGTTTAAATCTTTTCAGACCAACAAACTTCCGCCTACCACTCCAAAGAAGCGAAAATTAAACACCACTGGGGAAGACCCCAAGGCTGGAGGAAACTTACCAGCTGCTTCGAAGAAGAAGCAGGAGAAGGATATTTCAAAAAGTGTTGTACCAACTAGTGTCTCTAGACTCGATTCCAGGGATGCTTCTCCCTCACCTAAATCCAAAATTCCATCTTCGACCTCCAACGTAATGTTGGAACGCATAGCTAGCAACCTCTCTTCTGAGAGTCCACAGGTAAATTGAACTTTAAACCTTTGACAAAATAATGATTCATTACCTTGGTGCATGCTTTTAATATTCTTTTGCTTCTTGCAGGATATTTTAAATCCAGCTTTTACCACTTCGACCTCACCATCAAAAGCTGCTGCTCCGATCAACTCCTCTCCTCAAGGAGACTCCAGCAACCTTGTACAGAACAAAGGTTCCTCCAATATGGCGGTTCTGGCTGGGGCTTCTGAGCAGCAAGATGATCAGAGTACTTCTCCTCCTCTAAAAGAAACAAATGAAGCAACGCTTCATGAATCTGCAGAGGCTTCACAAAGAACTTCTCTCCAAAAGTCCCCTCTCGAAACCCTTCAAGAGGACCCAAAGGACGCTCACGCTGAAGGAGAGAAAGCTGATTCTGGTTAAAGAAACGAAGAATCTGCAGAAGAAGAGTCTGAGGAGGAGGATGCCAACGATGGTTCGACTGCTGGGACAGAGTCCAATGCAAATAACAGCGAAAAAGAAGACATCGAAGTGGTGGATTTGGATGACGATGAAGAAGATAATAAGCACGAAACGAATGAAGGGGATGGTGACACAACCAACAAACCCATGGAAGTCGAAATGGACGTGACTCCCCTGCGTGTGGAACTCCCTCAACCGTCTTTGTCCCGAATGACTGACGAGGAGCTTGCTCTCCTGAGACGAAATGACCCTATTGGGTACATGAAGGCGAAGCTGGCTCAAAGGGACATTCCACTTGCTAGGGCTGGCACAAGTTCGACTAGCCATCCTCTGCCCACAGATGAAAGAATTGTACTTCTTAACAGGATCAGGAGAACAATTCTTAATGTGGATATATTCGAAGTGCTCAAACAGGATAGCACTGCTTGCTACACTATGAAGGAGTTTCTTACAAAAGTCAACCTTGCTAACTGCTCCTTGCCAGTTAGTACTATCTTGTTCGATCTTCAATCTTTGCTGGACAACGTGAGTGGGTACCTTCTCCAAGATGAATCTGCTGCCAGAAAGGTTCAAGAAAAACGCACTGCAATGGATGCTGCTTATGAACAAGCTTCGAAACTCTCTCAAGAAGCTGAGGATCAAGCTATGCATCTAAAGCAAGCAAAAACTGATTATGAGGCTCGAGCTGAGTCCATCCTTCTCTGGGAAAGGCAAATTCAGGAACTTCAACAGAAGGTTAAAGAGGCTAAAGAACAACAAATAGCCTACGAAACCAATACTGCTGGTAACCAATTCGAAGAGCTTCTCAACCAGGGGCTTGCAGAAATGGAAACTGCAGAACAACTCAAGGGAGAAGTGGCAACCTTGGAGGGAGCCAGACGTTTTGCTCAACAGAGACTTGAATCTTTTCGAAGTACCTTCAACAGATTGAAGAATAATTCTTATTTCTAAATTTCAGTGTTCATTTGATTACAATTTGGTTTTTTATATGTAATATTCGAACAACGCCATTTTGGCATCCCATATTGCCATTTTGGCATTTTTATAATATTTTGGTTACGTTGTTACTATTCGAATCTCCTGCAGGCGTGGCTTATATTTCTTTAAATATTTCCCATTAACCTTTAGGATACGTTTATCATCCGTCAGTTCTTCGATTTCATATGCATTGTTTGAGAACACCTTTAGTATTCGAAAAGGCCCTTCCCAATGAGGTGACCATTTACCTAATGTTTTATTTTTCTTGTCCATGGGCAATATGACTTTCCAGACTAAGTCATTAATAATGAATGCTTTTCTCTTCACCCTTTTGTTATATGTCATGGCCACTCTTTCTTTTTGTCTCATCAAGATTTCCAATGCATGTAATCTAACTTCGTCCAACTCAACTAATTCATTCATCATCATCTCCCAATATAATGCAGTTGGGATTTCGTTTTGTCTTTGAATTCGAACTGATTGTAGATGAATTTCTACTGGCAGCACTGCATCATGACCAAATGTGAGTTGGAAAGGCGTAGTGTTAGTAGCTTCCTTAGGAGATGTTCTACAGGCCCATAGTATTTGGTCCAAAGTTTTGTGCCAGTTCCTTGGCTTTTTACCAATATGTTTCTTGATTAACCCTATTATCACTTTATTGGCTGCTTCGACTTGACCATTTGCTTGAGCATAATATGGCGTTGATGTTAGTAATCTAAACCCCATTTCTTGGGCAAATTCTTGCATCTTTCTACCCGTAAACACAGAGCCTTGGTCTGTGGTTATGCTCTCTGGCAATCTGAACCTATAGATAATGTGTTTTTGTATAAACTCAATAATAGCCTCTTGATCAGCAACTATTAATGGTATAGCTTCGATCCACTTGGTAAAATAATCTATTCCTACCAAGATATATTTCTGTCCTTTAGACGAAGCAGGATTTATTTCTCCTATTAAATCCAATGCCCATCCTCTAAATGGCCATGGTTTAATGATTGAATGCAACTCACTTGCAGGGGCACGTAGAATCCCTACATGTTTCTGACATTCCTCACATCCTTTAGCAAAGTCTATACAATCTTTGAGCATGCTAGGCCAATACATGCCATATCGAAATAACAACCATTTCATTTTATGATCTGCTTGATGTGCCCCACATGCCCCATTGTGGACTTCTGACAATGCTAAGTATGCCTCACTCTCTCCTAGGCACTTCAATAATACGCCCTCTTGGGTCTTTTTGAACAATTCGTTCCCCATGAGGACATATGATAATGCTCTGTATTTTGTCTTCCTATCAACATTCAGAGTTGGGTTTGCTAAATAACTCACCAGTGGACTTCGCCAATCTGCATCTGATAAAGTGTTTATGGCTAATATTTCGAATCCCTGTTTCTCAGCATATCCCAATTTCATACTTTCTAGATCTGATGGTGTGAATCTAGTAGCCATAACTCTACCCCTTAATTCAACTAAATCCTCAAAGTTCCTGACAGAAACTTTATAACCCGAAGCCAACTGTGCTAAGTCATTTGCCTCTTGGTTCTCTATTCTTGGTATGTGTTGAATATCCATGTATTCAAATTTCCTAAGTAGCCTGTTGACTATGACGAAGTATATCATCAAGTTTTCCTTTATGCATTTATACTCCTTTGTTATTTGCTTGACCACTAATTCTGAGTCTCCTTTAATTTCGACTCTAGTTGCCCCCAATTCCAACAAAGCTTCAAGTCCAACAATGAGCGCTTCATACTCAGCTTCGTTGTTCGAGCAACGAGGACCATCTAATTTATACTTGAATTTTGTTGGAATTCCTTCAGGAGAAATTAGAAGGACTCCAACACCACTTCCATTCCTGTGGGTTGAACCATCAAAGTACAATTTCCATGGTTGCATTTCGACGTAACTCATGACAGTCTGCTCAACCAATGAATGGTCCATAATAAAATCAGAAATCACTTGGCCTTTCACAGCTTTTAAAGGCATGAAAGTCAAAGAATATTCTGTTAAAGCTAAAGCCCATTTACCAACTCTGCTATGCATTATTGGTTTTGAAAGCATGTGTTTAATGACATCGAAATGAGATGAAACATAAACATCAACAGGCTTTATATAATACTTGAGTTTCATACAAGAGAAATACAAACAGAGACATAGCTTTTCTAAATTGCTATATCTGGTCTCTGCATCATTCAATACTCTACTTAAATAGTATATGGCTCTTTCGATACCATTGCTATCTTCTTGTGCTAACATACTACCTATACTAACTTCAGAGGCAGATATGTACAATCTCATGGGCTTCCCCCATGAAGGTGGAGACAAGATAGGAGGCTGAGAGAGGTATCTTTTTATCCTATTAAATGCCTCCTGATGGGCTTCGTTCCATTCGAAGGCTTGGCCCTACTTTAGACGAAGCAACGGAGAGAAAGCTTGGGTTCTTCCACTCAGATTCGAAATGAACCTTCTGAGGAAGTTAATCTTCCCTAGCAGAGATTGCAGCTCTCTTTTTGACGTAGGTGCTTTCGTCTCCATTATGGCTTTGGTTTTGTTCTGGTTGATCTCAATCCCTTTCTTGTGAACCACAAAACCAAGGAAATCTCCAGCCTGCACAAAAAAATGCACATTTAAGGGGGTTCATCTTTAAGCCATGTTTTCTCATTCGTTCGAATGATTGGCTCAGATGATGCAAATGTGTTTCTGCAGATACAGATTTGATGACTATATCATCAATATACACCTGCATAAAGGTTTCAATGAAATCATGAAAAATCGAATTCATTGCCCTTTGATAAGTTGCCCCAGCGTTCTTTAAACCAAAAGGCATCACCACCCATTCGTAGGTGCCTAAGGCTCCTGGGAAACGAAATGTTGTCTTGACAACATCTTCTTCAGCAATAAAAATCTGATTATACCCAGAGTATCTGTTGTACCCCAAAATTTTCCCTCCCATAATCTTCAAAGTTTTGACAAGCATCACCTCAAATAGTTCAAAGTCTACTCAAGGGCTACACAGTCAACCATCCTCCTAAGCCAGTCAAATTAGGGTTTTGGTTCCTGCAAGGAAGTTGAGGTTTTCAAGGGCTCAATCAAGTCCCATATGCTCATACACATTGTCCAGCATCCTTATGTCAAGTTTCAAGGCTCACAAGGTCAAGTTGCACAGTCAAAAACCCTAATTGCTCAACAGTCAACTGTAGGGGCAAAATGGTCATTTGGCAGTCAAAAGTCAAAAATTTTGGTCAACATCTCATTTTGAAGCCACAATCATCATTTGGTCAATCCTTGACCATGATTTCACAAGAATGGCTCAAAAAGACTCAAGATGCAAAAGTTTCTATTTTTGGACAACTGAAAAGTCAACTGTAACTTGACCAGGGCATAACTTTTTCATGGTTCATCAGAAAAATCCCATCCAATGCTCATCTTGAAGGGGAAGACATTTCCTACAACTCATCTTCACACTCCAAGTCCAAGAAATGCTCTCACAAAAAGTTATCAATTTCAACATTATAGGTCATTTTCAAAAGTCAACAAAAAGGGACTTTAAGTCAAAGACCATAACTTGAGATTGGTAAATCAAAATGACATGGGACAAAAGACATTGGTTATAGGACTTCAAGACCTTTCCAAAATGTCCAAGAACATGTTCATAACTTCAAAATTGAGCAAGAGATGCATTGGAGAAGTTGGGAAATTTTTGTGAAATGGCCAAAATCATTTATCCTTGAAATTTCATTTTTGACAAAAGGGGCCCACTTTTTCCACTTGATTCAGCTTGTCCATGCTTCCCACGTGTCCCACAAATTATTTCAAAATTTAAAATTAATTTCTTCATTTTTATTTAATTTTATTTGATTTAATTCATTTTAAATCATTTAAAATCAAATAAAATCAAAGAAGTTAATTAAAGGACATATTTTGCTTTGACTAGCTTTGAATCACCATCATTGACATTCCAATTTCGTGCAAGGGCTTAAAAG